TTTTTTTTTTTTCTTAAAAAATGCTAGCTAAAAAGATTATGAAGTGACATGCTATGTAATGTGATTTTTAGAGGTCTATTGCTAATTCACCAAACACTAAACTAATGAAATTGGAGTGTGTTTAAGTTATTAGAAGCTGAATTTAAGTTCTTACCAAACATAAATGAAAATAAGAGTAAATAAGAGTATATTTAAGTTATTAGTTAGAAGTTAAGTTCTTACCGAACACGCTCTGTGCAACATTCAGTTCATGCTTTCAATGTTTCTGGAATGCGAGAAGAAGGTCAACATATATCGATACTCTTAAAACTGAAACGTTATATTTAAAAAACATAAATAAAAAAGTATGACATTTCATAAAATAAGTAAGCATTTCATAAAAGGTACCTTTTGGTGCTTTTCTCATGACATTGATTCATTCCTTAGTTCTTTTGTGTAATGTGTTTGAGCTTAAGCTGCATGCCGGAAGTTTAAGTATTGGGCCTGGGCCTCAATTAATTTAGGCTGTATTGCCTATTATCCTAACAATACCCCATGGGCTATTTACAAGAGAACGGAAAACTCAGAGTACTCGTTGATGGGCCAAGGTCAAATTCTTATAAACAAAAATAAAATTTTGTGGAAAGATAACCCATTAACAATAGCACATCTCTATTTTAGTGATCCACACTGCTTACAAGTTACAACTTACAACCCATCAAACTAATCAAATTTTATTGCACATTATTTCAATTTTTATATAATTAAAAATAAAATATATGCACAAGCACATACAAATCTGCTTCAATAAAATTTTCCCAGTAGGAAAAATCTGAGTTAACCATCAATTTACACCTCTAAATATTATTGACTAAAATAAAAACAATTTAAAAAAAAAAACAGCAAGTATTTATTGAATTTACTACAACAATTGTCAAATATTAGCCAAAAAAAAAAATATATATATATATATTAAATCCTCCTCTCTACAAGAATTGGATATTTCTTCTGAGTTCTTGTGGTTGGGAAGAATATCACTTTATCTTCCTCTGCAGGCTCCCAACTGCACTCAAAAATTCAAGAAAAAAAACAACCCGGTTTTAAAAAATTGCACGATCTCGACACGCGGGAAAAAAAAAAGAAAAAGACGTTCTTAGCAAAGAGTCGAAGACGAATGTTGACCTGAATTGGGTGACTAGTCGATGGAGAAAAACCGAGAGCTCCACCCTCGCCAGCTCAGCGCCCGGGCATCGCCGGGGCCCACCTCCAAACGGCGTGAACACATTCGCTACGCCACTCGAGCCATTCTGTTATGGGAATGTAAAAAAAAAATAAAAATTACTAATTTAATTACTACCAAATGATATTTCGAAGACTAGATAAATCGAAAATTGAGCGAATCGAATTCGAGACCTGCCATCTCCACGGATTAAAAGTTCGAGCATCTTTAAAGTGTTGATGATCCATGTGTACGGCTCGAAGGGAGGCAAACACTTTCCATCCCTTAGGGATCGTAAAACCTAAAACGAACGTTTCGAATTTAGTGAAAACGTTCGTAGAATAAAAGAAAAGCGCAGAATCTTTTTTTTCAGAGTTTGAGACTTACCCTTGATGGTAACATCCTGCATGGCTCGTCTAAAAACACCGCTGATTATGTTTGCAACTCGAAGGGTTTCATTTACGACCTGAGACGAAAAAAAAACATTGGAATCATGGATATTAGAGATTATTAAGAAAAAAGATTGTAGCAAAATTTGGAGATTGAATTTGAACTTTACACATTGAGTGAAGGGCATGGATTTGCAATCTTCCCACTCAAGAGAATCAATGTCACCTTTTTTTGCTCTGATTTGATCATGCTCTTCCTGTGATGAATCAGAATAAATAAATTGATCAAGATTTGTTTATTTACTAACCAAAAAAAAAATATAAAAATGTTTTTTTAATATATTTTTTTTGTTAACATTTATGTACTTGAAACTCCTACAAAATTAACAAAGTTATTTACAAAGTTGCTCACTAGTGTTAAAGAGCTGTAAACGAACCGAACTTGAGCTTCGAGCCGATAAAAACGAGCTCAAGAAGCAACAAAATGATCATAAATTTACCTTAACAACACTTTAAAGTTGAAAGCAACAAATTCACTATTTCAGAGTGGGAAAAAAAAGGAAGAAAAGCAGAACTATGAGATTTGGGTGAAATGACAAAAATGTCCCTATAGTGATGATTCTGACAAAATGACAGAGGCATAGGCGTGCAGTATTTATGTGGTGATGGGTGACATTTGTTTGTGCTGGCGATCATTAAGGTTTTGTTTGTCTGATCAGAATCAAATGGAAAAGTTTGACAAATACAAACATAAACAGAGCTTTATTTATTTATTATTTTTTTTTTTTTTCTTTCTGTGC